AACATTTGTAATATCATATGAATTCTAATAAAGGAACAGAGGCATGGCCTCGCTTTTAAAAAAAAAAAAAAAAAAAATAATAATAATAATAATTTTATAAATTATTAGAGTTAGGGTTAAGGTTCACACTGATGACTATTATAATAACTTAGCTAATATACTTGCAAAACAACATATTCTTTCATCTTCTTTATACTTTATATATACTAACATCCACAACCTCTTTCATATTATACAATGAGAACAACATCCAGTTGAATTCTTTACAAGATATTTTATAAAAAATATCTGTAAATCACAAATTCTAGCACTATAGTTATCACAAAACCACAATATAGAATGGTTATTCTTTATTCAATAAATTGACTAGAACTTTACTTAGCTATACTTTAACTATAATCAAAAACCTACTCACAACTATACTAACTTTAAACTCAACCAACTTAAGTTCTTTAAAATTAAAATTCTATTTAATAAACTACCAGATATTTCAATACTTTTAACAACCCTAATTATTTTTCTTGCAATAGTTTAGATTCTGTTTTATATTGGTAAGTTTGCTTTAAGGGTAGAGAGTACACAAATTACTTTTCATATTAATTATATGGTAGATCATTTTATAATAGCAAATCAATTGTATCTATATGTTATTTATATTGTACTACTTAAAAAAATCTTGTACTACCTAGAAAAATTTACTAGTAAACAAATTAGGTGATTAACATGTGATACCCTCTACCTTTAATTTTACTATACTATATAGTATTATTTCTATTTCTATCTCTGAAATTCTTTAAAACTCAGTACTAGATCTTTTTTGCAATCAAACAAACGAACTCATTCACAAAATTCAAAACCATGCAGCTTTTAACAATACATCACTAAGGCCAAATAAACTCTCTCTAAATATTTCGTTTAAAGATCTTCTTATCCTAATATCTTTAATTTAAACTATTCAAAAATATGAAATTCCATACAAACTGACCTTTCAAACTATTATTAAAATCTTAATTTGAATTAATAAACTTACCTATAAACAAATATAAAAACTATACTGCATTAACTTTTCAAATTGGAAAAGCAATATAACATCACTCTATCTTATAACCAACCTCAACCACAACAACCCAGTAACTGAATTTTAAGAAAAATTAAAAAATTATATACCTATTTATGCTGATATAACTTGCCTGATCAATTATATACTAACAATTCTTGTTTACTATTTGGACTGACTATTTGCAAAATTAATATTTACAATATATTATAGATTAAATATAGTATACCTTCAAATTATATTTTAACTATCACAATTTAGGTGAGTCTTTGACCACTCTAATAGGTTTGGATCACAAATAAAATAGTCTGAGTTTTTATTCTTGTATATAGTTTTTATTTTTTTATATCCTATGTATTTAAAGATTAGTAACTCATTGTAGTTATTATATTAAAAACTATTAATAAAAATACAAGCAAGGTTTTACCTTATTATCAAAAAAATTTTTTTTTAATTAATTAAAATAAGAAAATAACTACATTTCACCAAAAGAAAATCACCAGCCTTATGTTTTTAGAGTTAGAGTGCAATTTTAGACAAAGCTTAAGATTAGATATTAGTATAAGGTTTTTAAGGATTTTGACTATTTTTACTTTGTACCCCTGAGAGGTGTTAGCTAGTACATTTTTGAGATATAGACCCTGGTAAACTTTATCATTGGTAAAAATTAGCAATTCTCTTAAAATAAACCAAATTTTAAATTTTAAAAATTAATTTCTCAAAATTTTTTCATTAAATTATTTTAAATTTTTTGTTACTAATATAAAAATCATTAAATTTACAACAAATCTTTAAAAATTTTAAATATAATCTTGATTTATTATTATTTTTTATAAAAAAAATTATTTAAAAACTTTAATTTTTATCTAAAATTTTTTTCTGATAATTAAAAATTGTCCAAAAAAACATAATCTAGATCAGTATTGGCACAGGACAGCTTTAGGCAAATTGTGAACAATTGTGGACAATTTTGAATAAAAAAACAAATCTAAGTTACTCAAAATTTTATTAAGATAACCTATTTTAATCTTCTAAACAAAAATATTCAAAACTTTAAAAAATATATAATCATATCTTTTTTAAACTAATCTATTAAATTTTTAAGCCTAAATATTCTTTTGACAATTGTGGACACTATGGACATTTGGACGTGGACATGGGTAAAAAAAGTCTTGGACATAGTAGACGTGACAACACTGACCTAGACTAACTATTTACTAATTTTTTAAAAAGTTTCAAGACTATAACACCTTTCTGTGAGAAGATATAAATACGGAAAAACTTTTATCTAGCACTATATATAAAATTTTTAACAAAAAAATTCTTATATGAAGGGTAGTATTTAGGATTATAATTAAGTAAGGTTTTTGAAATATAAAACACTTTTATTTAAAACACCCTACACCGATTAATTTGCCAATAATGTATAAAACACCATAGATGCATTTTAGCAAAAATCATCAATTCTTATTAAAAAATCTAAATATAAAACACTTTTATTTAAAACACCCTACACCGATTAATTTGCCAGTAATGTATAAAACATCATAGGTGCATTTTAGCAAAAATCATCAATTCTTATTAAAAAATCTAAATTTTAAAAAACACTAAAAAATTTTAGCCTTAATATAAAAAAATTAAAGATTTAATTAATCAATTTGTAAGTAATAATTAGCAAAATTCTTAGTACAAATAATTTGATACGTATAACTAAACTATACATAGGCTTTCTTCAGCGGTGCTGTATTGTATAAATAAATTTGGAGGGTGTACTATAACAACCACTTAATTTAGTAAGGTAGAAAACCTTTTATTGGTTAGTTGTCAATACTGCTAACTAGAAATATAAGTCACTAAACTAAAATAGTACTTTCTACGTAACTATATTAAGTGATTCTTATAGTACACCCTCCAAATTTATTTATACAATACAGCACCGCTGAAAAAAGCCATACTATACAATATAATAATACTGTATTATATTAACATAACAATAAATAAATATTATTGTATAGGAATAGCAAATTAAAAATAACTTATTTGTATTTCAATAGAAAAATGTCAGTGTAATGATTTTATTTGATTAGAAAATGTTGCAACACACCGTGTTGTCATCCTTTATTTTAAATATGTATACTCCTTTTACATCAATTTCAGATATACTAAAGTTTTAATCTTTTCAGATTGTAATCTCTCGAATTCCATCTTGATCTGTAACTTTGATCTTGAAATCTAAGAGGTTGATGACGAATCGACTTTTTAACTCATCTATGCATTTTTTGACTAGGACCTTTGCCTCATCAAGGGTAATGTCTGGATGGTGATATCTATCCAAAATCGACATGCAATAATAAGAACCATATCCATGGGCGGCAAAAGGCACTTCGACGGAAGAGCCAAGATAATCGATCCAATACAAATGAGGTTTTGACGTCGTTATATCGTACCCAGCAATGAGAAGGAAAACTGAATAGGGATGCTGGTTATAAATCATATTGTGTATAAATTAGTAATAGTACGATCAAAAAAAAAAAAAAGGCTTATTCGGAAATATCAGTTTATCCATGTCATTTATCCATAGTTAAATGGCTAAAATTTTGATGTTTCAGGAAAATATGGCCATATTTTCGGCCGGACATTGATCTATATTATCGTTAAAGTGCTCACCCTACTCCTCAAACTTGTTGCCAATTGTTTTCTTGTAAAAGTAGCAGCAGCCTTTGGTGTTAATTCGATACCATTCCTAATTCCATACAGTCTAACGTTTCGCTGGATATATTCCGCAAAATTGACAGTATCCCCTGACTCACCAGAGTACAACATGATATTATGCTTGTTGAGATCGCGGGACTTGTCCTCAGTAGATTTCATGACAGTAATCGAACGTGCTGCAGAAGTATCTGCGGCGGTAAGCACGAAATCTTTTCCTGTTATGCCGACAAGGAATTCCATTTCTTGGTCTGAAGGTTGAAGTAGATTTATGACATCGACTCTTAAGGGAGCAGGGTTACACTAGTCTATATGACGCCTATGCCCAAATTTTGGATAGATTAGCGGAGAAACAAAAATTCAGCAGATCGGCCCGAATTATGGGTCAGATTGCCCCGGCGTTAGGGAAATAACAACTAACCGTATTACACCAAAATTATCATCTGGGC